TTGGATTTTTCGGGATTTAGAGTTTCGAGATTTTGGCTTTTCGAGATTTTGGATTTCGAGATTTCGTAGCATACCCGATTTACCCAATATATTGATCTCGTTAAAAAAATCTCTTTTTTTTTTAAAGAAATAAATATTGTCAATTCTATTAGCGCTTGTTTTACAATTTTTATATTGTGAAAGAAACTATCTATTACAACATGTCAATGGTTTCTAAATAAAAAGCCTACTTTTAAAAACACGGGAAGGGAAAAAGAAATAAATCTCTATTCTAGAATCTATAACCCACAAAAACATAGAAAAACTAGATTTTTCGTTCAAGTTCAATTTTTCTCTGTTTTGTTTGCCATAATATTATAACAAGATTAAAAAGAAAATTATTTAAACAATACAAAACCACTTAAATAAAATTCTGTAAAAGAAGAGTTTATGAAATATCATCATCAGATGATTAAGAAGGAATAAAATAGAAATATTAGAAGAAGATAGTATGGATGTACCATTTGAAGATACAATGGAGGAAACAGGAATAGAAATTGATAATTATTTGGATATTGAAGAATCCAAAGAAGCTTTACCATTAAAATTATAATTAAACAAGAAAGAGAAAGCAGTGCTATTAGTCAAATTACATTTAAATTTTAAAAAGAAATTAAATCTTAATACAAACTTAATTGGATAAATGGATAGGATATAATGACTATATTTTTAGCTATAAACTGGGAAAAAGAAGCAGGTTGGAACTTAACAAATGATTTTCGTCACTAAAAAATGATTAAAAAAATTCAAAAAAGGTATTAAATTATAATTTGTTATTTGACGCAATGACACAATTATATATTTATTTTTAATATATACAGTAATATATAAAATCTTAATTAATTAGATTGATTTATTTGTGCGACTACCACACTCATGACTTTGTCACATAGCTACGATTTAAATACTCGCGTCTTGTTTTCTTCTTGGAAATTAATCACTTGTTACATAAAAATGGATACTTACTATGGTTATTTCAAAGAAACGACGCCTGATAATTATCGCTTCCTGGATTTTTATTAATACCGCAGTAAGCAAAAAGATTTTACCTTCTCCTTTCAAAAGGAGGCTGACAAACTTTGAAAGGATTTAGACTTTATATTAGAAATGGGTTCGAAAGAGATCAAGAAGAGTGCTATCAAATTAAAGCAAAATTTTGAGGTAATTTTTATGATTGTTGTTAAAAAGGCAGTATGGGAGACTTCCAGTAGTCCTGAGAAGGGGTAAAACTCACACAATTACAGTAGACATCCGCTAGTTGTCCGCTTTATGGTCTGCTTGTCCGTTATGATCTGCTATAAGGCAGTATGGGAGACTTCTAGTAGTTCTGAGAAAGGGTAAAACTCACACAACTACGGTGAGCATCTGCTAGTTGCCCGCTTTATAGTCTGCTTGTCCGTTGTGGTCTGCTTGTCTATTATGACTATCTTGTATAATATATTTTGATATAACTATCATATTAACCTATACGCATCAATTATAAGGGTCATCGCAAGAATTACAAAGAAGTTAGAGCATTTTAGAATAAAATTGAAAAAGATCTTGCCGATTTAGCAATCAAATCCAAAAGGCAAGAATTACGTTTAGCTGAGGTTAGTTTTCTAAATGTTTTTCTCGGTTTGCACTTCTATATTAACTTTTTATTTTTGAATTCATAGATAGGTGCTGCCTATTCTGTGATGAAAAATACTACAACGGTCCTTCAAACTGCTATTGGTAGAGTTGACACGACGTTGGTAAGAACTGTGATCATGATTGTCTGTTAGAGATAATAATTAACTCTTTTCTTTGTAGTCTAATGCCACGTATTATACATCAACACTAGTGCGTCAAAATTTACTATCAGAATTATCAGAAGAGGAAGATAATCCACCTTCATTCTATGAAATTTTTCCAGTACATAAGCAATTTGAACTGAATCTCTTCATATTCTATTTACAAGTCAGGAAACATGATCGTGAGCCTAAAGAGGAAGACGATACCAAAGAAGAATTCAACGCAGACTGAACTATTATTGGAGGGGGAAATATTTCTTGGATTGTTAATGGTCTTGATATCTGAAAAAAATTAACAGAATATCAAATGGAAAGAAATCTGCTGAAAACAAAGTCTGAGTATTATGACGTAATTTTTTTCAATGCTAAAGATAAAAATGGTTTTCTAAATACACTAGATAAAGATATGTTTCAACAAATATTTAAAGACATAAGCGAGAAAGAAAAAGAAACACAAAATGAACAGGAGATCAAATCGTTATTAAGTAAAATTATTATGCGTGATATTAACAAGACTAAAAATACACTTCAACAATATAAAAATCATTACAATACTTTTGAGAGAGTTTTCACACTGAATTTTGTCGACCACATGTGAGTTTTTATTGTTCCTAATCCCTAATGAAAATGAGACTAATTATTATTCATACAGAATAAAGTTGATTGAAGAGACAAATTTGCTTCTAGAACTGATATCAGAAGGAACTTACATTGTTAGTGTTCTAATTTCAATTTTGGATCAAATTTTTATAAAACATAAAGAAAATTGGTGTGCCAAATATAGGGAAACTTGCCTTAAGGCAAGTGTTAAAAAATGTAACACTCAAAAGGAGAATGATAATCACAGATCTCCCAGAAAAAAAATAGACGCAATCATTACTCTGAAAGAGGAAGACGAAGAATTTTCCATCATTGAAGTTAGTGAGCCTCCGTTAAAATCAGATTGGACTCATTTCAAAGGAGATCGAATGAAAATCATAAAAATGCTAAAAATGTTAATGAATCAATTGGCAGAAATTCGCCCAAATTTAAATATTAGAATGCTTAGACTTTACGCCATGCTATCTTATTGTAAGTCCTTATTTGTATTTGATCACTTCCTTTTTCATTTTATTAACTCCTAACTCTTGAAATTTACAGTAAATCAGTTGATTATCTATGAATTCTGTCTCAAATATGCTGAAGTGTACACAATAGTGGAAGTATTGAAAATTTCTTTTCTGAAATCATGGAAAGATATGAAGGAATCATACGAGATAGTGATGGGTCTATTAAAATATGAGGTTTGTATAAATGATTAGAAAATATATATACTGTATATGTGGAGCTAACATTTTCATATCTAGCGTTTATTATCCGAAAGTTCAGAATCCATACAAAACTTTCTTTGGAGTAATGATAATGAGAGCAAGACCTGTCAAAAAATGACCACACGAATTATCTATTCACTCACTAAGAAAAAAGCACGAACTAGTTAAAGCTTTTGGTTTCAACCTGTTTCTGTTTTGAACTAATTCATCTCTTTCGATTTTCAGGCTTGATTAGTTTATATTTAGTTTATAATTTAATTCAACTACTTTAATAATTGCGGCTTTACTAATTTTCAAGTTGATGTATACAAACAAAATTTAATGCTTTTTGCAGTATAATCGCTTTTACCTTGTAATTAAAATTGATAATATGTTAACAAAAAATAATAAAGTTTATCGATAATTTGAGCTTTAAATTTTTGTGCGTGAAATGCGATTTTTTTTCTTGATTGATTTATTTTTCTATAGCAAAATTTCGTTTGTCTCGGGTAAGAATAACATCCCAATCATTGTACTTACTTTATCTAAGTATTTAATAAAGCAAGTCTCTTTATATTACTATTATTTATATTATATTTTTTTCTAGAATCAAAGCAGGGTTTCATAAGGTATGATTCTCACGTTAAAAACTTCTGATCATTATGGTTAATTTCAATCTATCTGATAGTTTAGCTAAAATACAAAGATTACCATTTATTTTTGCATCACGTGACAAATTTAAATGTGCCAGAAAATTTGAGATTAAACGATCGAGACCAGTTTTTGTCCCAAAAATTTGTCCTGTTTATCTTTGCTGGGTTGATTGGATAAAAGTAAATCACTAACAAAACCCTATTTTTATATATTTTGCAGTAAACATTTGCGGCCTAAGGAATTTTTAAGGTGAATCTGGCTTAATTATTTCGAATCTTAGATCTTAAAGAAAAGCATCATTAATTCATAATCAGGAACAGTTCGATAAGACCTCAATTGAAAAATCAGTCTAAATAAGATTATCGCAAAGGTTGGTTGAACTTTATTATATATATTATTATAACTTTTTATCAGTTTGAGTTACAATATTACTATTATTTTCATTATGTCAAAGAATTGTGATATCAGAAAAAAATAAAAGATGCTTTTTATGAAACCTTAAGTACACTTTTTATAAAACGTAAGACATAATAAAAATCTATGGTAATAGGATCAGATATTGATATAGGTATTTGAAAAGTTAGTGGCATTCTATGAAATAGACAATTTACTTTAAGATAAATAGTATGTTGTTGAAGCTAAATAAGAAATTGGCCTTTGTCATCAATGGTATTGAATCTAAATTCCTTTAAATATATGTGTATTAAAATCATTTCCTATAAACCACTTTATATTAATTAAGTAATAATATATCATACCTTAACAGGTATTAATTCCCCACTCTGTATCCTTTTATTGGTGCAAAAATACCATACCTGTCAAAATAAAAATCGTAAAAATGATAGTAAAGAAACTAATCCAAAAAAATTATATCTTTATATTATTACTTACTTTCATTTTTGAAATAATTGTATCAGATCGTAGTAATTTTACTGCAATTGCATCATGAGCTCTACCTGGCTGAAGCTAATAATCTTTTACTGCATTTAATAAATGTGCTTCAGATTCCAAGGAAGCAACTTCGATTATGAGATTGGGCCACGGTAAAACCTAAAAATATAATCACTGATATTAAAAATTGATTGATTAATAATAGAAAATATTTAAAGCTCCACATACTGAATTAGAACCTTCACGTCCATTTGAATTTACTTCAGGTTTGTCAAATGGTAAAAAAGATCTGTCTGCTTCTTTTCCTTTATTACCGGCTTTTGTACCTTTTATTCAATAATTGAAAGCATGTTCGAGTTATCTGAAGCATTATTAATAATAATAAAAAAGTAAAATACTTACGTGTGGATCTAAACTAGCGAGCATTCTTTGTGAATCTGCCAAACGAATTTCACCTTCGATTGTACCAATACAAACCTCATGAGGCCTTAAGGGCAATTCATACACATAAACATTTCCATTTATCTACTCCCATCTTCTATGCACATTATACATATCAGTTCGCTCTGAATATTTCTCCAATTAACATCATTTTTCAATAAATAGGGTAACCTTATCCAAGAAGCGACAATAGATGTTAATTACATGAAAACAATGAAGGCAGTGAGACAAGAAATTGCTTACGAAGCTTCATTTCAGTTTGCACTCAGGTGTATATTTCCATCAGACCACCACAAATTTTAAACTTTGTCAATACGTCATTGGATTTAGAAGGTTAGAAGGTAGCATCGCTATTATAATAAATTAAGAACAATTCTGAAGAGTTAGCCTAAAGGATTTATAATTACACGACCAATTTTAATTTTATTCACCTTGTCTTGGCAACAGAGCTTGCTGTTTCGCTTGAAGTTGTACTATCTCTCGAAGCTGAGCTATCTCTCGAAGTTGAGCTGATATATATGATTATTTAGAACTTAATTAGAACGACTTTCAAGAGTTAACCAAAGGATATTACACATACCTTGATGCCTCATTAGAGTTTGTTTCTTTCAAGGACGACCTTCTATAAGTGTTATACGATGATTTACTGCAACCTAAAGTTGTCATTTTTATGTTACAAAATGAAAAAGAGATCTGATCATCCTTGTAAGTTCATTGGCGATTTTATTATTGATGATTTTGTATCACGCTTTTTGTTCATCGAATCATATTCCAGATTTGTAAACCAATCAGACAAATCATAGAGACGGCCTATCAATTGACGCGCTGACATTTGTACCAGATACTATTCAAGCAAGTTTGATCCTAATTTAAATAGTATCCTTGAAGGAGGGGAATACTGTATTAAAGGATTAATTGCTTATTGAATAACACCCAGGTATAACCGTATAGCACAGACTAAAAGATCCTCCTTTTGAGATACTTCAAATACAATGGGATAAAATTTTTGTACAAATATAGTACTTGTACATTCGTACAATTTTTGTATTTAATACAGTAATATAATTAAATATAATAATATAAATTTAATAAATTTTAAAAGATTTTGCATTTATAATTTTTTATATAAAAATGATTCAATATTTAAAAGAATTTATTGTTAAAAAAATAAGAAAAGTAGATCTAATAATAATTTGTATTACTGTAAAGCTTGTTTTAAAAAACTAATAGACAAAACTGAAAGAACTCTTACACATTTTAAAATTGTCAAAATTTTCAAAATGCATATAATTAGCAAGAAAAAGAAGAGATATTTGCTCTTAATAATAAATACAGAAAGTTAATTTAGGTAAAATATTAAATAAATTTATTATTTATTTATTATTATTATAATAATATTTATTTTTAATAGAAAATAATCTATTGTAAAAATCAATATCAACTTTACTAAATCATCTGCAATTATTATTATTACAAAGAGAATTAATTTTATCCTACTTATTCTTATCATCTTTTTTTTTAATTAGTTAAATTATAAACCTTTAAACATATATATTGCATGATCTTTTTCAAATAAGATAATAATTTGTTATTACAGATTATTATTTCTTGTGAAATTTCATTAACTTAGACAAATAATTTAGAAATAATTAAATTATTTAGATTTTTTAATTTAAATATTATATCTAATAAAATTTCATATTAAGCAACTAAAAATCTTGATAATACAATGATAGAAAAGTTAAAGTTAGATCAAATAGATATTATAATATAAGACTGATGATTTTATATAATCACATAATTTTACATAAAATATATAATTTATGTGATATTATATAATTTCAGTTTATTACATCATAAAATCACATAAATTGAATCTTCTTATATTGAAATATATAATCTATAATAAAAGATTATTCTAAGTTTTTTTTAGTAAAATACAAGTTTTTATAAATATTATGGGACGTTATACTCTTATATGTCCTTATTATCATATATTTTTTAAAAAATAAATCACATTTTAATAGTAGTTAAGGCAAATTAATACCATATAATATACAGAAATTTTATTAAAAATAATATTATATAATTTGTTTATAACATATAAATAATTTATATTATATTACATATAATATCATCAGCTTGTTACAATATCTTTTAATAAATAAATAAATGTTTATAAATAAAAATTAATAGGAATTATACTTATGATTTTTGATGAGTAATCTTATATACAGTCTCCAGCGAAAAGAATGGCAGAAACATATTTCGACGGTATGTACAAACTTTATTTTAATGTATATTTTTT